GTTTGGGGAGATGGTGGGCTGAGACACTGTGAGGTTTGGGGAGTCGGCGGGCTGAGCCACTGTGAGGTTTGGGGAGATGGCGTGCTGAGACACTGTGAGGTTTGGGGAGTCGGCGGGCTGAGCCACTGTGAGGTTTGGGGAGTCGGCGGGCTGAGCCACTGTGAGGTTTGGGGAGTCGGCGGGCTGAGCCACTGTGAGGTTTGGGGAGATGGTGGGCTGAGACACTGTGAGGTTTGGGGAGATGGTGGGCTGAGCCACTGTGAGGTTTGGGGAGATGGTGGGCTAAGCTGCCGCAAGCTGTGGGTAGGCAGCAGGCGGAGTGGCTATACACTTGCCAGCGCACTTTGGGCATTAAGCGCCGGACCTTCTCCGCCTCCAGGAGATCTGCATCTGGGGTGAGTCTGGACAGCACCTTCTCCGCGCACAGGAAGAAGGTTCTGACCTTGGGGATCCTCCATACCGCAGAATCACTCCTCCATGACAGGTGTTCATCCAGGAGGGTGAAGAAGTTCTCTGTTCTATAGATGAGGCACACAGGGTATCAGGTCCCCCGGATGCAGAGCAGTTTGATAGCCCAGGCGGAAGCACGGGCTGCTGGGGCTTTGTGTGAGTTCTGTTATTTTGTAACATGAGCGAAGGTAGAAGGAGCCCCCCAAAATGCAGCCATGTATGGGGGAACCCCCCCCCCCCAAATGGGACATTATGTATAATTTACAGGGTTGAGGCAACGACAGGGAAAAATGGCAGAATTGGGGGAGACAGGACTGGGAAGCATGTATATACCAGTCTAACAAAGTGGGCAGTGGTGGCTTGATGGTTAAGGAAGTGCACTTGTAATTGCAAGATTGCAGGTTCGAATCCCCGACCAGCAAGGCCCCACTGAGGTACCCTGAGCAAGGTACCGCCCCCAAGCACTGCTCCCTGGGCGCTGAATTAGCTGCCCCCTACTATGTCACGAAAGTCACATATGGGTCAAATGCAGAGGACACATTTCGTTGTTGTGCACTGTGTGCTGTGGTGTGTTGACAATGACCACTGATCACTAAATACTAAATAAATACAAAACTGAATCAAAGGACTGATACGATTCAGTTGATGTTTAATACATGAGGATTGGAGATCACAAACAGGACACAGCTGGGAAGCAAAAGGAAGGTTCTGGAGGAGTAATAGTGACTCCTGCTGGTCATATCAGGGGATGGACAGGAGAGGTGACATGGACATAAAGTTACTATTAATAAAGTAAACAACAAATTTTTTATCGCGTATTATGTTTAACATTTCAGATAATGTTTCAGTCAAAACTTTTATCAAATGTGAAGGAAGATAAGCATACTTTGTGGTTCATCCACTGTGCGGAACTGGTATTTGGGCAGTATTTTCACATCCAGTTTATGTTCACAGATCATTTCCAACATGAAACAGTACACAGTGCAACTTACAAGTAGAATCTGAATCGCCAGGATTGCAAACAGAATTGTGATTTGGTTTTCTGAAGGTTTTTAGCAAGTTGCTTCATGTATTGCAGTGGAGTGGGGTCTGTACTGCATGAGGAAGATCCAGGGACTTCAGGGTGAGAGAGGAAACTGATGTAGCATGGCACTGACACATCTCTCCAGGAGAGGAGGGCAGCGTGGACAAGGTCCCTTCATTGTGGACAACCTGGAAATGAAGGGGGGGTAATAACAGAGGGTGAGGGGAGCACCTTTCATAGCGAGACACTCCAGCATGATTATGATGTGTCCAGTTTCACGGCCTGAGATCTTGGGGCCAATGGACTCCACATGACTCCGCCCCCAGCCCCCTGTCTGAGGTAAATATTAGGTTTGGAAAAGACAAGTGCATCTCTCAGGGATACAGTCCTAATAGCCAGGGACCTCTGGTATATCTTTGCCCAATAAAATGCATAGGGTGCAGTTTTTTTCTATAAGGACCGTATGTTGCTGAGCAAAGTCAAGGAATTCTGGATAAATCAGAGATGGGGCTCAACCCCAAAACAATGTTATCCATTTTTCTCATTCAGTTGTGTTTAATTCATTCATATGTAGGCTGGCTAAAGAGGAACATCAAATAAGTTTGACTCACTGTGAAGCCCATCTGCTTCCTCTGTAGTGGTTTCTTAATGAAGATCCAGAGTTTAGTTCTTAAACTGCATTTCTACAACACTGTATGGGGCATGATGAGACATGGGGATGGCATGGATGTTGAGGTCTCGGGCAAGTCCACTCACTCGCAATCGTCTGGTTATTATAATGTATGTAAACGGGGGTTTCTTTAGGTAGCAAGGAGGTGGTCACAGGAATCACAGTGAAGTAGTAAAACTTTCTGTGTTTCTGTGTCATGCCCTGCTCGGCCTACCCTCTCGCCGGCCACGCCCCCTCATCTACCCCGTGTGGATTCCCCGTGTTCACCAGCTGTTTCTGGTTGTTGTGATTAATCCTATGTATCTCAGTCCGCATTCGAGTATGTTTCCCCAGTCCTGTCATTAATGATGTCCTGTATTAGGAGTATCTTCCTAATACACCCCGCGTTCTCTGATTCTGGACTCCAGTTCATGTTTCCTCGACGTGTGTCTCCCCGAGATGTGACATTCTGTATATGTTGGTGTTTTTCTGGAGTCAAAATGGCAGCTCTGCAAGTTTGTTCACTTCAAAGAATTGTTGTTAATATAGTCAGGGTTGCCATCTTTGGTCAGCTGCTTGGTGTGAGATTTTGAATTTGAGACAAGTCTGCACACAAATCTACATGTATGTAAAAGTTTTATTACCTTGTAAATAGTCTGTAGGGTTTGCAAACTACCTTAATGCTTTTAATGTAGCTAATTTCAGGTTTTATACTGAAATAATACAGATTTGCCATATTATTTCTTGCATGAGTGTGAGTCAGAAAGCAGGAGTGTTAAAAAAATTTGCTTCCCTGAAAACTGCCCCAGCAATAACTCTGATCATGCAAAGGCCCAGAAAAAATTTCCAAAGCTGAAGAGAAATATACTCATCATGGTAAAGCAGCGCTCATGCTACAGGAAGCCAGCACCAGCTCTTTCAACTCAGGGTGATAGTTCCTCACTAAATGCTGCAAGCAACAAGCAACAAGGTACCAAGACGTTCATGAGAAACCTGGAACCCAAAAATGTGGATGTTTATTTCCATTCTGAATATTCCTGCCACCTTCTGTCACCTGACAAAAGGTTTGTTAGTTTTTATCGTCATTGTTTTCAAGTTTTAAGGGTATAAGAGGAGCCTTTTCAAAGTGTGCACATTTCGCCCATCGTGTTTCTGGTAGTGTGACTGTTATTTGAATTTGGGCTGTTCTTTATATAAAAAAACAGTAAAACTGTTACTAACATTTTAAAAAGTGCTTTACGACTAATACGTTCATTTCTCTTAGGAGAAAGTCAACAAAATCAAGTTTCCACAATACAAGATGGTAACTAATATTTTTTATTCTAACATCAATGTTTCTTGTGCTTCCTGAGTGTCGATGTTATACTTAGAATTGAGCTCCACTTGCAGAAGGAATATGAGGAAGTGGTCCACATATCCACCATTTCCGTACAGTATTAATAGGATAAAGCTTGTAAATCCTGTATCTACTTGGATCAGAAATTAGCTTTATTCATACTTATGGATGTAAGCAAAAAGAAAGAGAAAGTATAGCTCAAGAAATGCATGTATACAGTCACATTCAAAATGGACTATATTATATATTCATGCAGAAATACCACCGTAGACCTCTGACGACTCTGTATTTTATCTTTTAACACTATATAATGATATTAAACAATCTTATATTATGTTAATTACTTGTTTTTGCCTTTTCAGAATACAGAAGTGAAACATTTGACCTGAACAGCAGTGTTACTCTGAACTGCTCCAATAAGACATGGGCTTTGGTTCTCTTCGTTACCTGGACGATAGACATTGACGGAAAGCAGTGTCAAATGGCGCATAGTGATAACGATCCTAAATATGATACATGTAACGATGGAAAGATCCTGTGTGACAATACAAACCTGCACATTCCACACTTTGCAAAAAGAGATGAAGGACGGTATCAGTGTGAGACAGTGTTCAAAGATGGGTACCACATAGCAGTAATAACTGTAACTGCCAAAGGTAAGAGAGATGTATGTACATTTATAGATTAAAATAATCTTAATGATAGGATGCCAGTGCTTCTTGATTTTTGAAATCATACATGTGATTAATTTATAAACAATTCATAAACATAAACGACTATGTATTTAGTCCCTCAACAGATTTCCACCCGACTGGACCCTGACCACAGAGAAGCTGTGTGTTCAGCCACAGGGGTTAAATCAGACGTCTCCATCTCATGGAGAACTTCATGGAACGCCACTGTAACCAGCAGCTCTGTACACAACCCAGATGGCTCCTACACCATGGAGATCCGGCTGAAACTGCCCGACCATGTGTATGGTACCACGCTGCAGTGCATAGTGACACACCCCAGCTGGACAGAGAATTATACACAGACACTTCAGCTCCCCGGTATGTATAAAGCTACAGTCTTTTGCTACTAATTGGATATTAAGTTTAATCAGACGTGCATAACTGTTTTAGTGTGGGCAATACTTACATGTGATTTTCTTTTCTAGACAGGGCTCTTAAACCCTGGAAATGGATAATCATTTCTATGGTTTCATTCTGCTTTCTAAAGGGCATAGTTGCTGGACTTTGCATCTTAAGGAATCATCTTAGCAAGATAAGGTATGAAAATCTATCAAGTTGTGTCATCCATCCATCCATCCATCCATCCATCCATCCCGCCATCCCTCTATTTTCTGTAACCACATATCTTATTCTGGGTAACTGGGGGTCCGGAGCCCATCATGGAGACTATGACCGCAGGGCCAAATTGTATACATTTTACATTTTTTTTTTAATGTAATAATTTTGTCTTATAGTAAGAAAAAAACAACCAGTTCTAATCATCTGTTTCCTTCCAGAATTTTCCGCAAGTTCAGCAAGT